AAGGAAGGAAGGAAGGAAGGAAGGGAGGAAGGAAGAAAGGACGAAGGAAAGAAAGATATAATAATGACTAATTAGTAGTGTCAACGTTCTTTATTCAGTTTTAAAGTTTACTTTTATTGCCTCTTTAATAAAAACTAAGGTTGGAAGTGACTCAAAACATCACATCAAATGATCTATTTTATGTATGAGATGTATTTTTTTAAGTTTCAATCTGTTTGCATATGTTAATGACCTAAGACTGTTACTATAAAACATGCCCATGGGCTGCCATTACCTGGCCTCTCCCTGGAAAAGCCTGAATTATTTGGACCATTTCAATGCGCCATCATGTTTGAATCTATTTTTGAAATTAGTCTGAGGTCCACGTTTTAAAAATTACAAATCATTTTTTTAGTTATCCCTTTCTTGCTAGTTTTTATGTGGTTTTCTTTACTTCATTCACCTATGTTGGTTATTATAAAAAATTACACAACAGCACTGATTTCCCTTTCATATCTGTGGCTTGTTTTTCAAAGTGAAAATCATCAGATGAGGGTATGGAGACAGTTCCACACTGCATGCTCAGCTGATCCTCTGAGATGACTCTGTAATGCAATGGCCGGATTATCCCTGGACACACGGGACAGCCCTGTCAACAGCAGCTAGCTCTTGCCTCCATGCCGGGTTGGGTTCAGCTAACTGGGGTGCTGGCCAGTTACAGAGAGAAGACACCCACTTCACTCTGCCTGCATCTAATCACCCTGCACAGGCTCCAGGGCTTTCTGGATCCCTTCTCACACCCTCTGACCCACCCACACCTCTAGAATGTGCCTTGTGTTTCCCGCTGGATTAACTGCTTTACCTGCAACTTATAATTATTTCAGTCAGTTTAATGACACCTAAAATTATTTTATTTCATATTCCTTACACTGTTCCTTTGTGGTTGATATATTGTGTACCCCAATAAACTTATCTTGGGGTCAGAGAACAGAACAGTCACTATATTAAGCACAGAGGTTAGGCAGTGGTAGCACATGCCTTTAATCCTAGCATTCCAGAGGCAGAAATCCATCTGAGTTCAAGGCCACACTGGAAACAACCAGGCATGGTGACTCACACCTTTAATCCCAGGAAGTGATGGCAGGAAGCAGAAAGGTATATAAGGCATGAGGACCAGGAATTAGAGGCTTTTAAGCTTTTAAGCTTTTGAACAGTGTCAGTTCAAAAAAATCTCAGCTGAGATCCATTTGGGGGAGGACTCAGAAGCGTTCAGTCTGAATACTCATGGAAACAGGATCTGATGAGGAGTTGGTGAGGTGAGGTTAGCTGTGGCTTGTTCTGCTTCTATGATCTTTCAGCATTCACCCCAATACTTGGCTCCCAGGATTTTTTTTAATAAGACCTTTTAAAATTCGTGTTACAGTTTCTTGGTTCACTTTCTATCTCTGTGATAAAGATCATGACCAAAGGCAACTTGGGGAGGAAAGGGTTTATATCATCTTGGAGGTCACAGTCTATTATGAAGGGAAGTCAGAACTCAAGGCAGGAACCTGGAGGCAGGAGCTGATGCAGAGGCCATGGAGGAGTGCTGCTTACTGGCTTTCTCTCCGTGGCTTGCTCAGTCTGCTTTCTTATACAACTCAGGACCACTTGCCCACAGGTGGCATCAACCACAGTGAGCTGGGCCCTCCTACATCAATCGTTAATCAAGAGAATGCCCGACAGACATGCCTATAGGCTGAACTACAGCATTTACTTAATTACGATTCCCTAGGCGTATAGATGTTTCAAGTTTTGTGTCAACTAGCACACACTGTTTACAGGACAGTATTTTTTCACGGAACCATTCCAGTCACATGTTCTGTTATACATGAGCAATTTAAACCCATCAAACCCAGCCCTGCAGTATTGATCAGCACGGCACACTGCACAGCTGCTTCTGCTTTCTCGCTGACTCGTTTAGAGTATTTGACCATTGTCTCTCAGCACGTAAATTTCTTCCCTGGTATGTGCCACGTCCTCCATTTCTGTCTCCACCTGGAGCGTGTGGATGGCATCATGCCGCAGGCCGGAGCCTGGTAGGATAGAGAAGGAACGGGAGAAAGGCACAAGCACA